TTTTCTATCTTCAAAAACACGAAAGTTGGGTCATTTTCGATCGTTCAGTTATATGGCAGCTATAAAATATAGTCGGCCGATCCTTATGAAATTTGGCATGTCGTATTATTTTGCCAAAAATAGCTCTCGTGAACTCTCTAACTATAAAAACACCAAAGTTATACCATTTCAGGCCGTTCCGACTTATATACTGCGTGCAAAGGGAAGAAGGGTGTGTGCAAAGTTTCAAGTCGATAGTCGAAGTCAAGGAGACATCTCCGAACCTATAAAGTATTTTCTTGATCACGATCACCTCCTGAGTTGATATGAGCATGTCCGTCTGTCTGTTTCTACGTAAACTAGTCTCTCAGTTTTAAAGAGGAGGAGGTGATCGTGATCAAGAAAATACTTTATAGGTTCGGAGATGTCTCCTTCACTGCGTTGCACACTTTTGGACAAAATTATAGTACCCTCTGCAAGGATATAATGAATAGTGTGAAAAGTAAGAGTCCAGCTTCCTTGACCGACACCAGATGTAACACGAACACGTGGCAAAAGACTGGGTTTACTTAAAAGGACCAAGTTATTAACACAATACTGTAGTATTCCCACACGCCGAGACAGGTGGCCTGGGGCGAAGTAATGGCAGGGGTTGAGGTTGCAGTCAAGCGAAAGGAGTATTATAATGGTCAGTACGGGGGGATGGGAAGAATGCAAAGCCAAGAGTCCTAGATGCGTGGCAGAAGGAGCAGCGAGGGGGGCGTCGCGGGAAGGCAGAGACGACGTGAAATTCAAAAGTTTCCTGGGCGGCAACTCCGTGTTTAGAAAGTGCGGCTAGACTAGCAGCAGCGGAAGACAAATGAAGTCGGAGCAAGACAAGGATAGGCCGAATTGTGAACTAAAGCGCTGCGATCTAGGCCCGTTGGCGCGTATGCGCGGTTACGCCCTGGTGTTACGCCCCGGCAGCGAGAATACGCGAGTTAACGCCTAAGCAATTCCCTCGGCGGCTCCCCACCAAAACCCCAGGGCAGCCAAACATCTAGCAACCAAATATTTTATTGCCAATAAAGTTGCCAACCAAACAAAAACATCGAAATCACTTCAGATCCAAGTCCTACTTAAACATCAGCTCCAATTTCCATTCCATTCCGCTGGGTCAGCATAAGTGCATGTAGAAATTTATGTATTTAGAGACGAATATTAAAATAAAGAATTGAGTTTTAGAAATATTATTAAACACAGGTCCCATTCTTAATCATAGAACCGGGCTCCCAAACCCAGGATTAAGGAAGCATCTGAGATGACAAGGATCTACAACATTTTCTTTATCTTTATTACGTAAGAGTGAGTAGAGTATGGTAAAGTGGGTGCAATGAAGTGGAAAATAAGTTGGAATAAAATAAGATTAAATGCAAATATATGAAGTACATTGAATCATACAGAAAGAGTAAAGGAATGTATTAAATAAAACAGCAATCGAAGAGTGTAGTAATCAGTAAAAATAAAACCGGTAATTCGAACCACAGGCAAGGAAAGGTGAAGGAGAAATAAACAAGTGCATAAATTCCGAAGCCGAAAAACGGCAGGATGAAAATAATTAATCAAGAGGTATAAACACAGAACGTGGTTAATAAGTGGAAGAGTTTAGTTAAAACTTTAATTTAAAGAAAAATGGCAATGTTTGTGAATTTGTTAAAGTTCTAGTGCAGCAAAGGGCTTGTGTCAAACGTCGACGAACGGCTGGATACCGACGGTTCGAGTCTGCATCGAATAGTTCGATCGAACGGCCGGCTGTCGGCAGACTTTGTGGGTGTCGATGGTTAGATGCGTACCGAACAGCACCGAAACGCCCGATCATGGCTGAACGGCAGCTGTTGTCGACAGATTCGAGCAAATATAAATGAGGAGTGAGTGGTTCGATCGGTTCAGATACAGTGGGAGAAGATGCTGCGGACTAGAAATTCGAGGACAAGATTTATAATTCAAATAAGGTATTTTTTTCATTCGCATGTATTAAGCGGTGCACTGTATTGCACAGAGCGGCTTTTTAGCATGAGAGGAAGTTCTCCCTCTCATGAGGCGGCCGTTTAGGAAGGGAAGGTTTTAAGTCGATGGAAATATTAAAAGAATAAAAGTAATATATATACATTAACATTTATTAGGCGGCGCACTGTAATGCCCAGGCGGCTGCTATGCGTGGGAATGGAAGAAAATATATTAATAAAAATAAGAAAAACATAGAAAATTTAATAAATAAAGAGCAAAAAGAAAGGCAGCAAGTAACTGTTAGGTTAAATAATTAATTAATAACGTAAGCATTGTTGGTCGCAAGCCGAATTTCCCGCAAGCCTCGGAAGCTTTTCGGCCGCTCGGCTTCAACTAATTCGGCATCTCAAGCTAGCAACAATCCGCTCAGCTACTAAGGTTGGTGCACTCTCGTTCATTATCTAAATATCTAGCAGCCAAATAAATATTTGTATAACGTTTAAAATTAAATATAATTTGCATTTTTATTTATCGGCGTTGAAAACTATCATTGACCAAACATTGGTGAACCCCGACGTGATCGTTAATATACTTAACAAATTACTTTAACAAACAACAAAACAAAACAATTTCATAAACAGTGTTGTTGCGAACAATTTTCATATGCGTTTAATAAGAAAACAGTTTGTTTATAATAATAAACAAATTATAATATATAATTAATTATACATAGACATAAATGGCAGTTCACAAGTGCATAAGTACGTGCCATAAGTACGTACTTACGTGCCATAAGTACGTACTTACGTGCCACAACGAAAGTGCATTCGCCCGCGCCTATACGTATGAAGCCTATGCTTCATACATACTAGTGAATACGTTCCACAACGAAAGTGCATTCGCTCGCACATAACTTCATATATATGTATATTCGTTCCACAATTCCGCTATAAATTTTGAGCGATGAAATTCTGGCGGCGGAATTATTAACTTCGGGTTGTTCGGAACTTAATATAATTAAGTATGAACTCTATCGGCGCAGTCACAGGAGCACTCATTCCAACCCGAAGTATTGGTATTGGTAAGTAAGCCGTTGGTATTCTCCAGAACTTTCAGAGGATCCAAGGAGCTCTTCAGCCTGTTTCCAAGATGGATGATGCCATGCTTCACGTGTGATATGGCCAGATAGTCACCATGTTCAGCGACTTCAAGGCCATCCACGGGAAGCTTGAGGATTTGGACATTTCGCAGTTCAGTTGTGACCTCTGATGGACTGTTTCGGAGATCGTAGCAACGAGACGACCCTTCGCTCTTCTCGAATTGACCCAGGGTAAAGTCAAAGTTTTCAAGCGTCGCCTCCTCTGCCTCTCCCTACCTTCAGCGGTGAATACTCGGAAGGGGCTGAATTCTACTCGATCGTCTCTACAATCGTTGGCAGCAATCCTCGTATTAGTAAGGTGGAAAAGCTGAAAAAGTTGCGATCTTGTTTTCGGGAGTCCGCTTTCGAAGCAGTTCGTTCTTTGGAAGTCTCCGACGAGAATTATGATGTGAATTATGACTTATGACTAATTATGACAGTAACATAAAAACAAGATTCTGTGTCTCAGTCTGTTGGCAAAAGGCTCAAAAGCAGCTCTTCGAGGTCTTTAGGAACAATTCAATGCCTTTAAGAATTTTCAAATCAGATCGCCGTCAAATCAGATCGCCAGCTGCATCATCGTCCAGGTTCTGTTTCAAAGGTTGGACTCAGCTACCCAGGATAAGTAGAAGGAGAGTCAAAACTCCTCAAGTTCAGACGCCATTCCTACTTGGGAGTCGATGGCCGAATTTTCGGGGCAGCGATGCAGGACGCTGGAGGCTATGGACGTAGCCATGGCTGCATACGCCCCGGGACCTTAGGCGAGAAGGCGTCGAGATGCAAATAACAGTAGTTCATCCTTTATTTTTACCAATTCGCTTCCCACTGCCTGTACTTTATGCGGTTGATGGTTCCATGTAATGTCTGCATGCCCCCGATTTATGTTAATGCGTCCTGATATCCGCCTTGGTGAGGGCAGGCGACTCGGTTTTTGTCGGAAGTGTCTCCAAACGGGCCCGAGAGCCACTGACAGGGATATCCATTTTTGGAATCCATACGTCACGGCTCTCATGCTGACCAACCAAGACCAACCTGAATAGAGTCTCCAAGTGGCGCTCTGAACTCTTGACGGACTTGAGGAAGGAAGGGTTCGACGGTTTCGTTGAATAGTTGGAACAGGGTGCCTCGCTGCTTATTGTTGCAGTTGAGTGTCTCGCTGCTTATTGTTGCAGTTGTGAAAGCGAAGGGCGCCGAGCCTGTAGTTTCTTTGTCGTCCACTGCTATTGCACTAGTTGCTCAGGGTCGCAGCGGGTATATATATATTTGCTGCCTACAGCGAAAATTTTTGACCGGAGTCGCGCTGGATCCCTTGTTCTATGCCGAGCATCCCAGGTGCGTGATCACTTCCCGTCTGGCGATTCAGCTGCAGCTTCGGAGGTGCAAGTCATTCATGGCGGTGTCTAGTATTGGCGATAACGGCTTTGCAATAGACGGATTTTATGTTGATGTTCTTCTGCGGTCCCACTAAAAATCGGAGCTATAGTCATGTTTATGAGCTGCTGTGTGTTGGGCCATTTTAGCTTTTAACCGGCCTGCCGTTGCTGCAGAAAACTTAACTTGGATGGGTCGTGTGTCGAGGCGGTTCACATGTCCAACGAAGATCACTCCACTTCCTCTGCCCACAAGGATATTCCGAAGAGTGAAACTATGCTGGATGATCAGTTGGATTCTCTGCTCCACCGGTTTTGCGATTGCGATGCGCATTTCGTGCAACATGTTGCTCGGTTGGAGTCCGGCGCTAACGCTGTGAGGCTTCCGATGAAATGTGGTTCTAAAATTAAAGCGGCCGTAGAGGAACTGACTACAAATCTTAGCTGCGGCAGCGGAGGCAGCTCCAAGGCTTTCCAACCGCCCGAGAGCCACTGACAGGGATATCCATTTTTAGAATCCATACGTCATGGCTCTCAAGCTGGAAAAGTGGCGACTCAGGCGGGTCTGGATACTGTCCAGAAGCCCGAGGGACAAGACCAACCTGAATAGAGTCTCCAAGTGGCGATCTGAACTCTTGGCGGACTTGAGGAAGAAAGGGTTCGACCGTTTCGTTAAATAGTTGGAACAGGGTGACTCACCAAACAATCTGTGACGCGTCGCGTGATCAGAAGAGGCATCAGAAACTGAACGACTCTTGGCAGAGCCCACACGAGGCGACGACAGAATTCCACCTGTGACGGAAGAGGAGACAGCCGCCCAGATTTCAGTGTTGAATAACAACAATGATAGCATCCCAGCTAACCAGCGGAGTCCGCACGGTGCTCCGTTAGGACTCCCTGTGCGGAGCGCAAAGCCTCCTAGGGACGCTCCTAAAAGTGTCCGTAAGAGCATGTTTTTGGGAGAAAAGTGCCATTACAAAATATATGAAAATGGTGTGCCCTGCGCACTCCTAGAATGAGTAATTTCGGAGTCCCAGAATGCTCCCTTAGATAAACCGCAGGGACTCCGTGCGGACTCCTTTCTTTGCTTCCAATTATTAAGAAAAGGAGTCCTAAAATCATCCGAAGATAACCTAGGCGGAGTACTTTGGGATTGTGTTTGTGCACCTAAAATGCTCCGTAGAGGAGTCCTTCTTTGTGCACATAAAATACTCCGTAGAGGAGTCCCTACGGTTTCTCAAAATGCTCCCAGCTTATATAGGAATGATAAGTAATTCAATTAGTAATGAACATTTAAACATATTTTTAATTAAACTACATTTTGTTAAATTTTTTTGTTAAGTTTATTTAAATTCCGTTCTTTTGGCGTCGAAACCATTTTGCGCTGCCTCGACCAAATTCTTTGTTTGCTCCTACAAATTTTATGTTGAATGCTCCCATCAATGCGTTGGTGATTGCCATCACATCAATAGCTTTCTTTTTCGGTGTCCCTTTCCAGGAGTAATGCGATGCGACGTCGTCATTCAAAATTTTGCGCCATATTATTCGAATAAATTTTGACGGATCGCTTGCCTCTTGCCGGATAATTTCATTTTGAAGTCTGTCGCTAAGGTCAGGCGATTTTTTTAATTCTTCCTCGAGCTTCGAGGAACGCCTCGACTGCGTTATCAACTTTTTTGTCATTGTCAGCTCTGTCAGTTGGCGAGAGTGCATTTTTTTATTATCATCTTCGAGCTTTTAAACTCGATGGGTTAAGTCTGAAAGAAATGAAGTTCATAAGTTATATTTTTTTTAATAAATAAGTTTTTTAAACAAAGTGAAGCAAACCTTTTAATGTGTTCTTAATTTCGATGGTATTTTTTAAAATTTCTTGCAGCAAATCTGTAAAAGAGGAACCATTTCACATACTATATTATTTAAATTTTAATTAATACCATTAACTATCTTACCAGTGTGTTCAAGTCTCGTCGAGTTACTATTGGGGTCCAAACTATGAGAATCATTTAATGGCATATTCTCTTGGTCATCTTAAAAGCAAGAAATGGTAATTATGGATTATAAGTACCATATAATATAATATATATGATACACTTACCATTGAATTTCGATGTTGTGGGTAATTTATTTGACATGATGTTGTCCTCATCAGTGTCGTACATAAAAAATTCGGTGAATTTATTCATGATGATGAATTACTGCAGCAAAAATAAATAACCTATTGTTGCTAAGGGGTAATATTTTTTTTCAATTTTTGAAACGCTATGTGTACAATTTTCGTCACTTAACATAAGTGACTGTGAACAAAATAAATGTACCAAACTGGACTTTAATGGCTCGTAAAAAAAATCTTCTAGATTTAATACTTGGTTTGACTGAACAACTAAGCAGTTTGTTCCTTGCTCGATTAATTTTATTTTTAAAATGTGTGATCCCACCATATAAAAATTATTAGGAAAATGTATAGAATAGAAAAGTGTATTTGCCTGAATTGAAATTATATTACCACGCGAATCTTTTTTTTAAAATAGAACTGAAAAGTTGTGTTCTCTTTGGACAGTTAACGCTCATTTCAACAATGCGATTATAAATTTGGCTGCTCCGTTTTGTTCCGTTTTTAACCATTTGTTTCACTTTATATAAGAATTTAAATGCGCTAAAAGAATCTAATGTATCTCTATATAAAAGAACCTCGTCAGAGAGATGTAGCAAGCAGTGGAAATTATATTTTAAAAAAATGGGACTGTAATGAGTGGTCAATAAATCCACAAAGCTGTAAAGCGGTGCTTTGGCACACGCATTTTTCGTAATACAATATTCTGGACTAAGAAGTATACGAATGCCAACGCTTAACTGCAGAAAATGTTCATAACGTGCCTTTGTCAATACATTTCTAAGTACCACTGGACCGGTGTACAAAAGAAATTGCCGAAATTCAATCGCTTTCCATCGCTCTAGTTCAGAAGTATTTCTGGGTTTCCTGTTAAACTCTTTTCCCATGCTATTTTTTAATGATAATAAGTTTTCATTGAGAAGGACTATTTTTTCTGTTGTGAGAGAATAGTCTTGACCTTTTTCTTTTAGCCATGCCACCATCAATGTTTTTACTATACCGAGACAAACTACATGCATATAGTCCAACGCGAATGTGTCAACTATATTTATTGGCAACTCTTCAATTTTTAATGCGCCATTAATCTTGTGATACTTTGTGTTTTTTTTTGCTCGAAATTCCTCGTCAGTACGTAACGGCGATATTTCAGGCTTGAAAATAATTCTATTCTTGTAAGCTGGTGACACTTAACGCAACTGAAATAACCGGAATGACCTTTGACAGCAAGCATATACGAACGCGTCGGTGCATCACAAATGAATGCTCTTATTTGCACTTCAAAATTTTCCGATTTATAAGTAAACCCATTTTGAAATAGTTCTTTCATTTCCGAAACGAAGTCTGAAACAAAGTCATCAACGTTTGGAGGCTTGCTATCACCCACAAAAGCACCCGCAACAAGCACTGGGGAAGTATTGTTCACATTAATTAAAATAGGCCACACTTGCTGCTTTGAAATGTTATATAAAGGTAGTCCATCTACATTGACATTAAGCCTTATGGTTTTTTTTGGAAATGTATTTTTTTCAAAGAAATCTGTTAAGCAATCATTGACACCGTAATGAAAATAACTTCCACTTCCCATCACAACGCTAGGCACTTGCCTTGGAGTTTTTTTAAGGGATCGATAGTCGGCACTTAACTCAAAGCCATAGCGACGTAAAATTTTTAAAAGCCCATTAATGGCAGATCCTGAAATATTAAATAATATTGACCACTCAGCTAACTCTTCCTTTAGTTTTGACGAGAATCCGTATGACTCGCAATCGTCTACTCTTTCGTACTCCTCATCTTCTGCGCCCGAGATATCGCTGAAATTTACCCCTTCAGCACTTTCTATGGTGAAAACGGGGTCTGAGACAATATTATTTGTCAATAAATCCCCGCTTGCTTCAATGATTGTTTCATTTCGAACGTTGCTGTTGTCAGTTAGCGAATCAATTATTCTATTAGATTGTTTTTCTACGAGTCTTCGTTTGGACATTTTTAACAATTTGTGTAACCACAAAACAATCAATAAATTTTAAAAACGCACGCACCACGTGGAACCGAAAATTTGCACTGACTAACTTGCATAAAAGAAGAACAAAACGCACAAAAAGAAAAGAAAACAAAACGCACGGAAGATTGCACGAGAAACAGATGAAAAATAGAAGAGCAGCAAGCTCCGAAAACGCTCCGTGACGGTGCGACTTTAGGAGCCCTTTTTAGTCTTTGCTTCGGAGGGCTCCGCAAACACTCCGAAAAGGTGCTACTTTTGGAGTCTCGTTTCGATCTTTCTTCGGTGAGCTCCGCAATCGCTCCGAAGAGGTGCTACATTGGGACTCCTTTTTCGCTCCATTTTCGGAGCGCTCCGGAAACACACCTTTGCGGTATAAATTTGGGAGTCCGTTAACACTCCTAGTTCGGAGCGCTCCGCATATGGTTGGCTGGGATCAATGCAACCGCATTATATTGCTGCCACTTCCAAGCATCAAGATACTGACGAAAATTTACAATAGATTCTTAGAGAATGGGTACTTTCCGACCAACTGGAAACATGCTCAGGTAACCATGAAACCCGAAGCCGATTAGTCTTCTATCGATACTCTCCAAAATACTCGAAAGAGTGCTTTTGAGTAGAGCATTGACAGCACTGGATGAGGCTGGTCTGATCCCTAATCACCAGTTTGGCTTCAGGCGGTCCCACGGAACCAATGCCACAGAGTGGTGCAGTATATCCTGGACGCCTTCGAAACCAAGAATTACTGCCTGGTTGTAATGCTGGCGGTCAAACAAGCCTTCGACCGGGTCTAGGACTCCGGTCTCCTGCTTAAATTGAAGACTTACGTGCCCAGACCTTACTACCTCTTCCTGGAGTCGGAGAGGCCACTTCCGGACTCAGGGTGGTCCGCGCCGGAGTCCCCCAAGGCAGCGCGCTGGGCCTTTTATTATTCAAAGTCTACACGGACGATCTTCCATTCTTACGGAGCCCCAACATAATGGCAGCCACCATTCGCAGAATAACGATTAATCCACCGCCACCACATTTTTTCTCCGTTTAGGAAATTGCACACCGGTCTACCTCAGTAGCTCCCCCATCCCGCAGGTTAAAAACCCAAGATACCTGGGCTTCACGCTAGTCAAAAAGTGAAAGCAATGTGAAGTTAGATTAAAGGCGTACTATTGTATGATGGGTAGGAGGTCGAAGCTGAAAACCTCTTCAAAAATCCTAATCTACACGGCGATTATTCGGCCAATTTTGAAAAAAGGGATCCAACTTTGGGGCACGGCCAGCAAGACTAATATTTGGACTATCCAGACATTTAAAAATATAGCTCTCCGTATCGCCACTGGGGCCCACATCTACCACGACAACCAGACAATCCACGAGGTGCTTGGCTTCCCATGGGTGAAGAAGGAAATCCAGAGAAGCAGCAGCAGGTACATCCAGAGGCTACACAACCACACCAGCGTCAACCATTGGCTAGTTGCATAAAACTCAAGAGGATGATGCAAATTTTTTGCAATCAGTCTCGAGCAACAAACAGGATATTTGGGGACTAGAA